GGTGGTAAAGGTTCATCCCAGTCCTGTTGTTCTTGAGTTAGCTCTCTGTACAGTGCTTTTCCATGAATTGTCACTGGGGCAGCAAACCCTAGGGGGTCGTAGAGGCTATTTACAACAGAAAGTATGCCTCTGCGTGTAAATGACTTAGTGTCTTTACCTACTCTGAATGTGAAAGAGTCATCTTCCAAGTTCCAACCCACCCCAAGACTTCTCTGTAAAGGCAAGGGGTCAACATCCAAATCTAAATCTTTGAGGTCGGTTGCTCGCTCCTCCGGTGGGAATGCATTCATTACTGCACTGACGTTTGAAGCAATTTTGTGAAGTCGTATGTTTGATTCAGACAGCATGTTTCTTGCTTTTGTTAAAAGTTCAATGGCTTCGTTCTCACTGGGCACAGAAGTAATACCGTCGTCCACATAGAAATTGCGGAAGACAAACTGTTTTGCGTTCGAGCCATGTTCTTCTTCCCCTAACTCGGCTGCTTGTCTCAGTCCATAGATTGCAATAGCTGGGGACGGACTGTTCCCAAAAACTGGGACCTTCATGCGAAACTCTTTTATTTCTTTGCTCAGGTCATTGTCTCTGAACCATAAGAATCTGAGATAGTTTCTGTGGCTTTCTTTGACTCGGAAACAGTAAAACATCTGCTCCACATCGACAGTAACTGCTACCTGCTCTCTTCTAAAGCGAAGCAGAACACCAAGCAGTGTATTGTTTAAATCAGGGCCTCTAAGCAGTATGTCGTTAAGTGAGATGCCTTGAAACTGTGCGCTTGAATCAAATACAGCCCGGATTTTGCCCGGTTTCTGGGGGTGGTACACCCCAAATATTGGTAAGTACCAACACTCTTCACCTGGTTCTAACGGAGGGGCGATTTCTGCCTGGTCATTAGCAAAAACTTTTTCCATGAATTCAATGAACTGTTCTTTCATATCTTTCTTTTTGTCTAATGTCCGTTTCAAAACTGTGAGGCGCTTCAGAGCCTGTTCTCTGTTATTTGGAAGGTGAGGGCGTGGATTGCGAAAGGGTAATGGCGCCACCCAATGGTTATCATTGTCCATAAACACTTCCTTGTTCATAATTTCAATGAACATTTTGTCTTCAACTGACATGGCTGTTTTGTCATCATCAGGGGTTCTCTGAAACACATTGTGCCCAAGACAGTCTGTGTGTTTAACACTAGGAGCGCCCCTAGCGGTCATCTGACCGTCACTCACTTTAATATGCTAATTAGTGTATTCAAAACAAAACGCCAGAAGTTGAAATTTTATGACTTTTACTGGGTACTTGTTGTTTATATTTTGGTGTGTTTTGTTTTTGGAAAAAGTAAAGAAAACAAGATTTACACGCATTTTAACTTTTCTAAACCACAGCCATTTCTGCTGCCCCATAGGGATACATGGCGCAGGGGCGACTGTTGTCATAGTAACCTTTCCCGGGGTTTTTTCGCGCCTTATACAAATGTATCAATATGTTGTCATTAGACTCTAAAGGGACTTGAGGTTTTTATTTGGGAGAGAGAAAGAGTTTTGAATTGAGAGGAGTACAACATGAATAGAGCTGCAAGTACACGGTATGAAGCCCAGACAGTGCTTCAAGACACCGCGGTGAAGTTAGTTTGAAGTTGGATATCCGACAGACATTCAACGGTCATTCCCTCTCGGTACACCTCTCCTTCTCTCTGGGTTCAGAGCGACTCGAAAGCCGCTCCAACATTTTAGTGCACCCCTACTACACACAGTACGGTAAACACGCGGAGACATGTACGCTGGGCTAATATTTACATATAAAAATTCATTAAAAATACTTAAAACACTTTAATGATAAAAGAAGAGGTGTACCCCCTGCAGCTAGTGGAGGACTATGATCCTGACCTGATTTGGAGTCAATTGATCACATGACCTGGAAGCTATTGAGCTAAAATGCTAATATTTGCATTTAAAAATTCATTAAAAATACTTAAAACATTTTAATGATAAAAGAAGAGGTGTACCCCCTACAGCTAGGGGAGGACTATGATCCTGACCTGATTTGGAGTCAATAGATCACATGACCTAGAAGCTATTGAGCTAAAATGCTATTTTATTACATATAAAAATTCATTAAAAATACTTGAAAAAACTTAAATGACAACAAAGAGGTGTACCCCCTGCAGCTAGTGGAGGACTATGATCCTGACCTGATTTGGAGTCAATAGGTCACATGACCTGGAAGCTATTGAGCTAAAATGCTAATATTTGCCTTTAAAAATTCATTAAAAATTCTTTAAAAAAATTAAATGACAAAAAAGAGCTGTACACCCTGCAGCTAGTGGAGGACTATGATCCTGACCTGATTTGGAGTCAATAGGTCACATGACCTGGAAGCTATTGAGCTAAAATGCTAATATTTGCCTTTAAAAATTCATAAAAAATACTTAAAACACTTTAATGATAAAAGAAGAGGTGTACCCCCTGCAGCTAGTGGAGGACTATGATCCTGACCTGATTTGGAGTCAATAGGTCACATGACCTGGAAGCTATTGAGCTAAAATGCTAATATTTGCCTTTAAAAATTCATAAAAAAATCTTTAAAAAACTTAAATGACAAAAAAGAGGTGTACCCCCTGCAGCTAGTGGAGGGCTATGATCCTGACCTGATTTGGAGTCAATAGGTCACATGACCTGGAAGCTATTGAGCTAAAATGCTAATATTTGACTTTAAAAATGCATTAAAAATACTTACAAATACTTAAATGACAAAAAAGAGGTGTACCCCCTGCAGCTAGTGGAGGACTATGATCCTGACCTGATTTGGAGTCAATAGGTCACATGACCTGGAAGCTATTGAGCTAAAATGCTAATATTTGCCTTTAAAAATGCATTAAAAATACTTAACAATACTTAAATGACAAAATAAGAGGTGTACCCTTTGCAGCTAGGGCAGGACTATGATCCTGACCTGATTTGGAGTCAATAGGTCACATGACCTGGAAGCTATTGAGCTAAAATGCTAATATTTGCCTTTAAAAATGCATTAAAAATACTTAAAAAAAATTAAATGACAAAATAAGAGGTGTACCCTTTGCAGCTAGGGCAGGACTATGATCCTGACCTAATTTGGAGTCAATAGGTCACATGACCTGGAAGCTATTGAGCTAAAATGCTAATATTTACATATAAAAATTCATTAAAAATACTTAAAACACTTTCATGATAAAAGAAGAGGTGTACCCCCTGCAGCTAGTGGAGGACTATGATCCTGACCTGATTTGGAGTCAATCGGTCACATGACCTGGAAGCTATTGAGCTAAAATGCTAATATTTGCCTTTAAAAATTCATTAAAAATTCTTTAAAAAAATTAAATGACAAAAAAGAGCTGTACACCCTGCAGCTAGTGGAGGACTATGATCCTGACCTGATTTGGAGTCAATAGGTCACATGACCTGGAAGCTATTGAGCTAAAATGCTAATATTTGACTTTAAAAATGCATTAAAAATACTTACAAATACTTAAATGACAAAAAAGAGGTGTACCCCCTGCAGCTAATGGAGGACTATGATCCTGACCTGATTTGGAGTCAATAGGTCACATGACCTAGAAGCTATTGAGCTAAAATGCTATTTTATTACATATAAAAATTCATTAAAAATACATAAAAAAAACTTAAATGACAAAAAAAGAGGTGTACCCTTTGCAGCTAGGGGAGGACTATGATCCTGACATGATTTGGAGTCAATTGATCACATGACCTGGAAGCTATTGAGCTAAAATTCTAATATTAGCCTTTAAAAATTCATTAAAAATACTTAAACGACAAAAAAAGAGGTGTACCCCTTGCAGCTAGTGGAGGATTATGATCCTAAACTGATTTGGACTCAATAGATCACTTGACTTGGAAATATTTACATGTTAAATAAATATTTAGAGATTGAAAATGAAAAAAGTACTTGTACTATGCAGCTAGTGGAGTAACATGATGCAACACTAGTAGGGCTACCATGAGATGACTTTATTTTTTCATCATGAAAATATATTGAACATAGCCCTGTCCCTTGTTTCTCTTCTTCACTGGCATAACACACATGCCCAGCTCTTTTCCATTGCATCCTCCCAAGTCCTTGCTTTCCAACGATACACAAGAATCATGGAACCACCTGTCACAGTCATCACACTGTATCTGTTCAATTGAAAACAAAAATAAGTAGTAGTTTTTTTCAGTTGTCATAAAAGAAATCTTATTTGTACAATGGAGCTGAAGGGTCATCTAATTTTCTCTTTTATTTTCAGAGGCTATGAGAGTAAAGTCAGAATATTACAATATTACAAGATTAATCAAAATCAAAATATTATGAGATTAATCTCAAAATATTATGTGGTCCGGTTCGGAGACCACAGCCATGGGTTCTGGTTAGGAGGCCACAGCCAGGGACCGGAAGGGGTCTGGTTCGGGGACCACAGGATTTCATCTCTGCTGTTTGCGGACAATGTTAAGTAAGTAAAATAAGTAAGTAATCTTTATTTATATACCGCCTTTCACAGACCAGAGTCAAAAAGCGGTTTACAAACATGTTGTCCTGTTGGCTTCAACAAACCAGGACGTGCAACATGCACAGGGACGGTTTGCAACCAAGTGTGAAGCGGCTGGGATGAGAATCAGCACCTCAAAATCTGAGGCCATGGTGCTCGACCGGAAAAAGGTGCATTGCCCTCTCCAGGTGGGTGGGGAGGTCCTTCATTTTGTTTGTTTTTAAAGCTTTGAATGGACTGGCCCCTCCTTACATCTCGGACCTCATCCAAATTCACCACCCGCCCCGCGCGCTGAGGTCCGAAGGCCGGCTCCAGCTTGTGGTACCTAAGACCAGACTTAAAACCCCGGGGCTTCTCTGTGGCTGGACCAAAGCTGTGGAACGCCCTGCCCCCCCACGTCAAAACAGCTCCCTCGTTGGAATGTCTGATGAAGGGGAAGAAAATTGATGGATGGATAATGTCAAATTATTATGAGATCCTTTTCGAAATATTATGAGTGCCTGGGCCCCATAAGAGACCTGCTTGCGACCCTGGGGAGAGACTTGCGGAGCGCAGGAGAGAACTGCAGACAGAGCAGGTCCAGCCTCTGAGCACCACCTTGGTACTCGTAATGTTTTTAGCCAATTGCTTCAGTATGTTTTTATTAAAAAAAACATATATTATTCTACATTTACCTGTTTATTGAGGAGCAGAAGAGGATCCAGCACAAGGTCCAGTGGAGTATCAGGAGGGCCAAGAAGGACTTTGGGAAAAAGCTGGAGCAGAAGCTGGCTCAGGGAAACGCCTGCGACATGTGGAGAGGACTAAAGAACATCTCCGGCTTTGGGCAGAGTGCCAGTGGGACAGCGGATGGAGACCAGCACCGGGCGGATGAATTTAGCCAATATTTCAACCAGTTTGATTCTTCCCCCCTCCCCATCTTCCCCCCTCCCTCCCCCACCTCTTCACACGTGCCCAGCCCGGTGGACACTGCCTTCGGACAGGACCTGTGCAGACCAGCTCTCTGAGGTCCTCTCTGAGGTCCTCAGCTACATGTACAACCTGAGCCTCAGCCTGGAGAAGGTCCCTGTCCTGTGGGAGACCTCCTGTGTGATCCAGGTTCCTAAAACAGCGCACGCCAAGGAACCGGCTCACTACAGATCTGTCGCACTCACCTCCCACTGACCTCCCACCTGATGAAGACCATGGAGCGGCTCATCCTCACCCACCTCCGCTCTGTGGTCAGCCCCACCCTGGACCCGCTGCAGTTCGCCTACAGGCCCAACATCGGAGTAGAGGACCCCGTCATTTACTTACTGCAGCGGACACTCTCCCACCTGGAGCCTGCAGGGAGCGCTGTGAGGGTCATGTTCTTCGACTTTTCCAGTGTTTTCAACACCATCAGACCGGCGCTGCTGCGGGGGAAGTTGGAGGATGCAAGAGTGGACAATAGCCTCACTGCATGGACCATCAACTACCTCACCGCATGGACCATCAACTACCTCACTGTATGGACCATCGACTACCTCTCAGACCGACCACAGTACGTGCGGCTGCGCAGCTGTGAGTCTGAGGTGGTAGTCTGCAGCACTGGGGCCCCTCAGGGCACTGTCCTCTCACCGTTTCTCTTCACCATCTACACCTCAGACTTCACACACGACACACACAGCTGTCACCTGCAGAGGTTCTCCGACGACTCCGCCATCGTGGGCTGTGTGTCTGAGGGGAACGAACTGGAATATCGGTCGGTTATCAAGGACTTTGTCGACTGGTGCGAGCGCAACCACTTGTGCTTGAACACCAGTAAGACCAAGGAGATGGTACCTGTGCTAACACCAGTAAGACCAAGGAGATGGTACCTCTACTAACACCAGTAAGACCAAGGAGATGGTAATCAACTTCAGGATAAAACCACTTTCCCACACGCTGCTGAACATCCAGGGGGAGGACATTGAGCTGGTGGACAGCTTCAAGTACCTGGGTGTTCACATAAACAATAAACTGGACTGGTCCCATACCACCAACGCTCTGCACAAGAAGGGCCAAAGTCGCCTCTTCCTTCTGAGGAGGCTGCGGTCCTTCTGAGGAGGCTGAGGTCCTTCTGAGGAGGCTGAGGTCCTTCGGAGTGAGCAGGCCTCTGCTCAGGACCTTTTTATGACTCTGTGGTAGGCTCTGCCATACACTACGCTGCCGTGTGCTGGGCCCCGGGCAGCACAGAACGGGACAGCCCCCTGGACTCTGTGGAGGAGGTGAGGGACAGGAGGGTGCTAGTCAAGCTCCTCCAGCAGACTGTTCCAGAGACGGGGCCGTAGTGATGGACGTAAAGCGCTTTGGGTGACCTTGGTCTGTAAAATGTGCTATATAAATAAACATTACTTACTCACTTACATATGCCTCAGCTATGTGTGTCCTGGCTTTGGTAATGGAGGAGTCTGCTGCAAGAACCGGGATGGTTCTTTGGATAAAAGCAGTTATGAGTAATAAGAAGGCCCAAGACCATGAAGACATGAAAAAAACCAGTGAAAGAACCTAAAAATTGATCCTGAAACACACGGGAAGCCAATGCAACAAATTTAAAACCGATGTAATAAAACTGTACTGTATTAAAAGTCAGGATCATATTCCTCCCCTAGCTGTAGGGGGTACACCTCTTCTTTTGTCATTTAAGTTTTTTTAAGTATTTTGTATGAATTTTTACATGGAAATATTAGCATTTTAGCTCAATAGCTTCCAGGTCATGTGACCTATTGACTCCAAATCAGGTCAGGATCATAGTCCTCCACTAGCTGCAGGGGGTACACCTCTTTTTTGTCATTTAAGTTTTTTAAAGAATTGTTTATGAATTTTTAAAGGCAAATATTAGCATTTTAGCTCAATAGCTTCCAGGTCATGTGACCTATTGACTCCAAATCAGGTCAGGATTATAGTCCTCCACTAGCTGCAGGGGGTACACCTCTTCTTTGATCATTAAAGTGTTTTAAGTATTTTTAATGATTTTTTATATGTAAATATTAGACCAGCGTACATGTCTCCGCGTGTTTACCGTACTGTGTGTAGTACGGGTGCACTTAAATGTTGCGGCGAATGTCTGTCGGATATCCAACTTCAAACTAACTTCACCGCGGTCTTCAAGACATTGAATGAGAACAGTCTGACGGAGGTGAGATGTCACAGCGGGGAGAACACTTATAATATTCTAAATCTGAACGTAAACCCGTAGTGCATTCACGGCACGGACAGCAGTGTTGGAACAAGTCCAGAAGCAATAACGCACATGACCCGCGTAATACCAGCCATACGCAGGTGTCTGTGTGCGCGCTGTCGCTCCATTATGCCTTTTCATTCATCATCAATTACATTCTTATATTTATACATAGAAGAAGGCAATAAAGCAGAATACAATATCGCAATAAAATAGAACAATTAGATGAACTATCAAGGCAGAGTGCAGATGGAGCGCTGTGAGGCCTCTCGTCACCCGCGGACACCTGCAGGAGGAGAGCGACTGTGGGTCAGAAGCGGCCCTCATCATATCAATAAGGATATCATTCTTATTTCATTCAGATAACACTGTGTGTTATTCTGCACAGCGCGCACTGCAAGGCAATGATTATAATTTTCTTCTGATCATAAAGAGCACTGCTTGTCTCAAATAAATACAAATATATATATATAACGTGTCCCGTGTAAAATTGAAGATTGTACATTGACGATGGTAGCCTAGCTGATGATCTTGTGTCAATACGAATACTATTATTATTATCGAGATAATATTTCCCACAGTGATTTCGGCCTCTAAAGAGAAAACAGTCTGGAGATGACGTAAGAAGTAGACGCATATATAGCAGCGCGAAGACGTTATGGTCCCGTGCTTTTCTAAACTATCATTTATATTGTTTGAATTGACATATTGTTACTGAGTCAAATTTAACATATAGTGACCGACCTTTTACGTGTTTGCAAAGTTACAAAATAAATCTAGCCAGAAAAGTCTTCGTAATTTTTTTTTATTTCGGCTGGAATTACAATTACTTAGCATATTTAGACAAATAATTTACACAGTTTCATTATGATCACGATTTCCTTGCAACAACAAATTCTGGTTTAGTGAACAATCAATTTGGCAAAAGGCTGTATCAGCGCAAAATACATAGCGGTCAACTGACCGCAGGGGGCGGTGCAAGGTATGTTTAGAGCACGGCGGTCCTAGTGTTAAGTGAGGTTGCCTCTATGTCACTGAAGGCAACGAGTTGCGATCTGGGGGGAGTGAAAGTCTCTTTTTCACGAATAGCACTAGTGCATGGCTCAAGGAATGAAGTGCGTCCGTTTTGTAGTACATTAGTTTTGTAAACGTTGACTTTAGTCTGTTTGTGTGCTCTCCCTAAGCAAATCTCACCTACAATAACCCAACCCAAATCTAGCCGCTGAGCATATGGTGTGTTGTGCGGGCCATTGTACTGCTCACGCACTTTATGTAAGCTAAGAACGTCTCGGCCAATTAAGAGAAGGATGGGCGTATCTGGCTCTAATGGTGGTATTTTACCTGCTATTGGTGCGAGGTGAGGGAAATGCTGTACAATGTCAGGAGTAGGGATTTCACTACGGTCATCTGGCATTGAGTTACATTCGAAAAGAGGCGGAAGTGTGACCTGAGTCTGTCCATCCAATGAAGCAACAACAAAGTTGTGTGCTTTTCTACCTGTAGTTTCACTGATGCCTGAACATGTTTTTAAAGTGTAACTGGAGGGCGCTACACTGATGTTAAATAACTCGAAGAAGTCAGATTTAGCCAAAGAGCGATTGCTTTGGTCGTCTAAGACCACATACATTTTATGTGCCTTGTCTGGGTGGCCTGCTGGATAAACATTCACTAAAGAGATTTTTGAGCAAGATCTAAGTCCAAGTGTTTTGTCACAAATCTCAGTACATTTGGAAGTTACCTCAGGGGATGCGCTATCGACTCGCTCCCCGCCATGCTCTTGCTCTGTCACTTGTGCCTCTGTTGACCAAGGAGCTGGACCAGGATGTAGAGCACTAATGTGTCTGTCACTATTGCACTCTCTGCATTTAACAGCAATCTTACAGTCCTTAGCTAAGTGTTTAGTGGAGGCACAACAAGGAAAACAAATGGAGTTTTCTTTTAAATAAGCTTTTCTTTCATCCAAATGTTTGCTCCTAAACCCTCTACACTTTGCTAGGGGGTGCGGCTTGTCGTGCATGGGACAGCGGTCAGCAGGCTCGTCTGCTTTCTTGTCTTTGTTACTGTTGTAAGGCGTTGTAGTCATAGCTGTTACTTCAGTCTTTCTTACTGACACCGTTCTGCTATTATTGTATTGCCTTTGTGTTTTATCCTGCTTTATGTGGCTTGTGGCGCAGGATGAGGAGAATGAGAAACTTGGATCATTACGTGTTTTTGCTTGGCTGCAGATGAAACTCACAAAGTATCTGAAAGGTGGAAAGGAAACACGATGCTCTTCCTTGTACCTAGAGCCATGTGTGATCCAGCGTTCTTGTAGTCCATAAGGAAGCTTTTCTACAATCGGGTTAACACCTCTGGCTGTATCCAAATAAGCTAGACCAGGTAGACTTCCTCCTGATTTGGCAGACTGTATCTCCATTAAAATGTCTCCTAACTCTCTGAGACGTTGATTGTCTTTGTTGGAGATTTTAGGAAAGTTCTCTAGTTTTGACAATAGAGCATTTTCAATGATCTCAGGTGAGCCATATGTGTCATCTAATCTTTGCCACACCATGTCAGCACCTGCTGGAGCGTTGTGGACGTGAGCCGACCTGATTCGCATTGCTTGTGGGGATGAATCAGGGCCGAGCCACTTTATCAGTAAGTCTAGCTCCTCTCTAGCTGTTAAGTTGAGCTCTCTTGTAACATCTTTGAACGAGTTTTTCCAAGCCCAGTAGTTTTCTGGACAGTCATCAACTTTTAAAAGGCCTGAGCTCACCATTTCTCTCCTGACTAGATATTTAGTGAGATCTGTCATTGGAGCTGCTCCAAGGTTGTAGTCTCTGAGACTGGATGTGTAAGACTGTGGATGAGGAGGATGTGGTTGGGCTCTGTTGTGAGTGTCATTTGTTACCTCATTTTTAAACAAAACATTATGGAGATTTGACTCTGTAGGAAGCGGGTACCACTGAACTGGATCTGGTGCTACAGAGGCTGGAGGCGGTGGAGATGGTGCTCGTGCGTTGGAGGTGGTGTCAGGCGGCTGCGGGACCGAAGCTTTCTGCTGTGGGTCGTTGTAGTGGGCCTGCACGTACTCGCTGGTGCGTTGAGCGGTGTCCTGAGGCAAGATCTGGACCAAGTCGGAGAGAGGATCCTTCTCATCCACTGCGGCTGCCTCGTAGACTGCTGCTTCTGCTGAGGCGGCTGTGGCGCTCCTCTGTGTCTTCAGGACGTAGAGATTAGCATCTAATTCAGCTAACATCTTCTGTTTTTCTGCTTCTATTTTAGCTTTTTCGATCATCATTTCTGCTTCTTTAGCTGCATACTGTGCTTCTACTAAGGCTGCTTCAGCTCTAGCTTTGGCTTTGGTGGCTGCAGCACTGACTGAGGACCTGCTCGATCTTGTGCCAGAGACCTCGGATCTAGTGTCATACAGTTTTTGTATCTGGACAGACTTGATATGCTGCTTCATTTCGTCGTGTTGGCTCATAATGCTTTGTAGAAAGTCTCAGCCCGTTGTGCAATTGTCCTTTTACTATTCTGTCCTCACTATGGTGTCACATAACCAGGGCTAGACAGATAGCGAACAACAAAAGAGAGTCCGGTAGACCATGTAGAGACGTTAACTTTTACTTTTTGCTCCACAATTGTCTCTTTAAAGTTGTAAAACTGTAACACAATACATAGAAACAAGTATCAATAAATTGTACCAAACAATGAGCTTCCAAAAGAAATGAATGAATATTACAGCTTATTACACAGTCAGTAAATGAAACACTACATCTTACATTTGTACTCATGTAACTCGTGTAACACAGGAAAAATACATTTTTGTATTTCTGAACTTTAGATTGGAGCGTATAGCCTAGCTTAAAACAAATGGAGCTAACACACAAAATTAGCAGTTAAAAAAAGTAGTAGCAACAAAAAGAACTTCTCATTTTCTCATTCTTATTTGTACAAATTTTTATCAACAAAAGAACATCAAAAACCACACATCATACATCACTTACGGACAAAGATGCCCCAAGGCTGAAAAACGGGTGTCTGAGTGAGCTGAACTGCACGTGAGCTGACCGTTGAATGATGAGTGTGCAGAAAAAACGAAACTTATACCCAAGTTGTCCACTAGAGGGCAGTATTCAAACTCGCCAAAAATAACAATTTATAAAATGTACATAACAAAAAAAAGGGTGTAACAGTACAATCATGTTAATGAGATTATTGTTGAATCATGACACTGTTTACATGCACTTTGTGGCGTTTTTTTTAACCTGCATATGAAATCATGTTATGATTTCATCCTTTTGCAATGCACTAGCACTTTATTTTGTAGAGTTGCTATGAGATTATTGATTGTGCAATAGCACTATGCACTTTCACTTAAATGATTGAGTACAAATAGTTAAGAATTTTTCATTGTCTTAATTATAGAAACTTTTGTAGAATAGTTATTGTGATATAGTAGCATCCTATTGCACTTTTAATTATGAATCCTATTTGAATATGTATTGACTTTGTGTACACATGGATTAATGACAAATTACTGATATATTTCTATAGTAATTTAGAAGTGTATTAATGTAGTTTTGACGTAATTAGTATTATGTTTAGTATATACTAAATGGAGTTAATGAGGGTACTGTTCTGTTATACAGGCCAGGTTTCGATGGCGAGCTAAAGAACTGGAACTAGTCCTGGACCTGCTTGAAAACCTGAACCCACCTACCTCAATAGGGCTGGTAGGAGGCTCTTGCAGCTAACCATACAAACTCTCGCACCTTGCACTTTATCCACGACCCCAACCATTGCCTCCTTTTCACTCCTCACACGGACACTTACCTCTGGACTCAAAACAATTCTCGGGTCGTGTGGATGTCGCTCTGTTGAGCGCGTGCAGTTCCAATTGTGTTGTGCGAGTGGCCCACGGGTCACGTGTAAATATTGAACTCTAAACCTATGACTTGTGTATATATATATTGCCTTCTGTGTATTGAGTGTATTTGGGATTTGAGTATGTGTGAATGGCCATTCTAATTCTATTGTCAATATTGTCTAATTGTGTACAATACATGGTACCTTTTTAATATGCAACTACAAACCCAGTCTTTGCCTCTCCCTGAGTCTTATCTATTCTTTCTGAGTTGAACTAGCCTAACTACTGAACTTGTTGAACTACTATTGTGAGTATTTATTGTAACTAGCTATTTAATTAGCAACATAAGTGCTACAATAGGTTGAATTATTGTTTTATAGTAATTCCCCATATTTCCACATAATGCAGTTGTGGCATTATTGGGAATCAAATAATAAACGCAGTGATTTAATATCAGCTACAATTTTAATCTCACGATTTAGATATTTAGATTTTCAAGTACTCAGTATTTTTAAGTCTTTGATATCAATTTCCAATTTAGTTTTTCATCAATATTTACTCCTAAACATTTAGCATTGCACATTCTTTCTGTTTTGGTTTGTAAGGCAAGGCAAGTTTATTTATATAGCACAAACATACACAAGACAATTCAAAGTGCTGAACAAAATAAGAAAGCATTAAAATCATAAATAATCACAGAACATTAAAAAGAAAGATAAAAATATAAAATCCCTCAGTTGTAGCACAGCTAAACAGAACTGTCTTTAACCTGGTTTTAAACATTGTCAGAGAGGAGGCCTGTCTCACATCTTCAGGAAGACTGTTCCAGATTTTAGCAGCATGAATCTGAAAAGCATTCATGGGGCTTCACATTGCTTCACGGGGCTTCATATTGCTTCACGGGGCTTCATATTGCTTCACGGGGCTTCATATTGCTTTACGGGGCTTCATATTGCTTCACGGGGCTTCATATTGCTTTACGGGGCTTCATATTGCTTCACGGGGCTTCATATTGCTTCACGGGGCTTCATATTGCTTCACTGGGCTTCATATTGCTTCACGGGGCTTCATATTGCTTCACTGGGCTTCATATTGCTTCACGGGGCTTCATATTGCTTCACGGGGCTTCATATTGCCGACTTGTTTTCTTCTTTGTCAAATGGAAAAGGACCCACAGATCTCCTTCTTTCTCTCCCACTCGTGGACATGTCCTTGTTCTTTTCATCACCGTTAGATACTTTACAAGCTTACAACAGTGGTGTTGTGGTTAGCGCTAGCAACAGTGGTGTTGTGGTTAGCGCTAGCAACAGTGGTGGTGTGGTTAGCGTAAAGCATAAATAATCACAGTACATTAAAAAGATAAAAATATAAAATCCCTCAGTTGTATGCACAGCTAAACAGAACTGTCTTTAACCTGGTTTTAAACATTGTCAGAGAGGAGGCCTGTCTCACATCTTCAGGAAGATTGTTCCAGATTTAGCAGCATGAATCTGAAAAGCAGCCTCCCCATGTTTAGTTCTGACTCTGGGCACTAACAGGAGTCCAGTCCCTGTGCTCCTCTGAGTCCCAGCAGGAGTCCAGTCCCTGTGCTCCTCAGAGTCCCAGCAGGAGGCCAGTCCCTGTGCTCCTCAGAGTCCCAGCAGGAGGCCAGTCCCTGTGCTCCTCAGAGTCCCAGCAGGAGGCCAGTCCCTGTGCTCCTCAGAGTCCCAGCAGGAGGCCAGTCCCTGTGCTCCTCAGAGTCCCAGCAGGAGGCCAGTCCCTGTGCTCCTCAGAGTCCCAGAAGGAGGCCAGTCCCTGTGCTCCTCAGAGTCCCAGCAGGAGGCCAGTCCCTGTGCTCCTCAGAGTCCCAGCAGGAGGCCAGTCCCTGTGCTCCTCAGAGTCCCAGCAGGAGGCCAGTCCCTGTGCTCCTCAGAGTCCCAGAAGGAGGCCAGTCCCTGTGCTCCTCAGAGTCCCAGCAGGAGGCCAGTCCCTGTGCTCCTCAGAGTCCCAGCAGGAGTCCAGTCCCTGTGCTCCTCAGAGTCCCAGCAGGAGTCCAGTCCCTGTGCTCCTCAGAGTCCCAGCAGGAGTCTAGTCCCTGTGCTCCTCAGAGTCCCAGCAGGAGTCCAGTCCCTGTGCTCCTCAGAGTCCGGGCTGGTTCATATGGGACTAACATGTCACTAATATATTTTGGTGCGAGGCCATGGAGAGACTTGTAACAAGCAGAGCTGTTTTAAAGTCTATTCTCTGAGCCACAGGAAGCAGGTGCAGAGACGTGCGTGCGTGCGTTTTCTGGTTTACGAGGCCGATTTTCAAGACTTTTCTCCGAGTAAGGAGGACCCTCCGGTTTAGGAGGACATTTTGCTGTCCTCATAAAAATTACATTCTAAATCGTTTTCTATGCATTTTTTATGCCTAAAAAGACGTTTTCTCAAAAGTCTTTTTAATCCAGAAACCTGAGAAAAGTGGTAAATTTGTGTGTCCGCCACTGCCCCTAGTGGTGGTTTTCTCCCGCGCGGGAAAAAGGGAAAATATACACAACCGCGGGAAAATGATACACACACACACAAAGTCAGCACTGCGCATGCTCCGTGGGGAAGCACAACAGAGCGTCTGTTCTGTCAAGGGGAAGTTTATGCATTTCTGCAGTAATTATACACCCACAAAGGAGACAGGAGAGGAGCAGCCGCGCAGAGGGACACAGGACATGGAGAGACACCCGCACGGAGGTAGGAGAGAGTTTTCACTGTCACCACATAGCACAAAGCAGCCTAGTTTAGCAGCAGAGCTAACGCTAAAGCTAACGCAAATGTGTGCTGCAGCCACTTGTTCAGAAAATCTACAGCAACTATATTGTCCACAGAAGACACAGGGCCGTGGTGAGTCAATACTGGGAAGAGTTACAGCTGGCCACAGGTTGTTTAGCACAAAGTATCCTAGATTAGCTGCGGAGCTAAGTGGCTAACGCCCAGTTTATGCATACTACATAATGCCTATTGCTTTTATAAGGCCAGTTAGAAGACTACAATTATAAGAACAATAGAGATGAGACATTTGAGGTATTTATTATGATGCACTTTTTGCAGAAATCATACAAATAGGCTTTGATTATCCATTAATAGCAAAGGGCATAGCATAATCCTTATGCCATAAAATTATAAGTGTCCCATTTAGCCCACATAGTCCATAACCTCCAACATCTGCTTCCACTGGGATGTGAGTGACTTGATGATGAAATAACAATAGTATAATAATCACTAGTACCTTCCATTTACATGGAAATGCTTATTAATTAAAATGTTTTAGTTTCATTAAATTATATACATCTGTATTCTTAATAGAAATAAAATAATAGGCCTACTGTGTTCCTTAAAGCTTAAAAGAGATGTGTTCCCCGGTAAGGGGCTGTTTTGGCGATAGTATGTTATTACTATAGGGTATATTATATAACCTGCATGTATTAGGTCTATAATAGTCTATTAGAATTAATATAATTTAATCATTCATAATGTGCTCCTCTGGACTCTCCACCTGCAGGAGGATCAGTGAGGGGCTGGTGCTCTGGGTGCAGCTCTGACTGGGGAAGAAAATGAATGGATATTTCTCCCACAAGTAAGTAAGTAAGTACACAGCCATGCAGGTGAACTGCAGTGTTACAACAACACTGTCTAAACCAGGACTGATTTAACTTGAGAGTTTTGATTTGAGCTTCAAAACACTGCTTCAAACTTGATGACTTGGGAAATGTTTTGTGAATGTTAAGAGGACAGAAGTAATTTACTGTTTGAAAAACTATGAGAGGAACCAGAGAGTCGAGTCCTGCAGCGGGACATCAGGGAGTCCTCTTTTGAGGTTAGCTTATTTATGACTGTTTGTTAAAGAAATAAGTCCCATTGTTTTACAATAGCTAATAAAAGAAGTATTCGTCCCCACTGTGGGACAAATAAAGGAATTCTTATATTATCTTAAGTAGGTCAAAGCATCATCACAGTCCAAAGGCATAGTTTTAAAGGTTCCATATTACACTTTTCTTCATATTTCACAGTCCATCCTATGCACATGTGTGATAATGATTTGACTTGTGAGATTATAGCCATCTCTTCATCACAGAAACAACATGATTACAGAGATCCTGAGCATTACAATGATTTATAACCTATGTTGGCAGAGCTGATGTTGGCTAGATGACATTGAAAATGTGTATATTGTTACATATCAAGACAGAGAGGGCCCCAATAGGCCCCAGACCTCAATTTGGGTATGGCTGGTGAAGATGATGTGTATTTTTCTGTTCCTCTTGTTTAGACACAGCTCAGTGGTATAAGCATCATTGCTGGACAACATGTTGCAGAGTTTGGTGACCACACAGTGACTTGGACCCTGATGTTCTCTCTGCAGACTTATCCAGAGGTAATACCTTACTTAACCCTCTTGTCCACAAGATGCAGTACTATTTAAAATGGCCATGCTCATATACAAAATAATTGAGCAAGACCGTGTTGAACCAGTGCCGAAATCATAGCGAAGCGAGTGCAGCTGCAGCAGCGTGCCAGTGTTGTACCGCAACAAACACAAGCTTTAGACACTTTAAACACTTCAGACGCTCAGTGTCAGTTGGAACAGTGTTTCTCAGGGTCAGGGCGGTCATTTGGAAGTTCGAAGAAAGGTTAGATTTGCGGAGAACAAGACTAGGAGTCTAGACTGGGCGACAGTGGCTCACTTAGTAGAGCATTGGTCTTTAAGGCTGAAGCTCGTGGGTTCGAGCCCACCACGAGACCTACTTCACGACTCCCACTGGTGATTGCTGTCATTTTGTCCTTGGGCAAGACACATAACCCCACTTTGCCTAAAGCCCCCACTCAAAAATCAAGGCTCCTATGGACTCACTACCTGCAGGAGGATCAGGGAGGGGCTGGTGCTCTGTGAACTGGGTGTAGCTCTGACTGCCACCCCCCCGACCCAGAAATGGATTAAGGGGAAGAAGATGGATGGATGGAAGATTAGAAGTCAGTGCCCTGACGTCCAGCCTCCGCTAATAGTGTCGTATTCACGGGGCGGCAGTAACGTTGGACGAGATAGAGAGAGCAGGGTACTTTTATTCCCTACATAAGTTTTGGGCCATCCTTAATTGTTATAATTTACAGAAATCCTCAATCTCTTATCACTTTTAAGTTATAGCATTTTAAAAATAAGATTTAAAAATCGAGCATTTTAGATAAAACCTTAGCTACTCCTGGTAAAAACACCTGGTCTTGCTAAGCATTGTGCCTTCATATCATGTGTTCTCCTCAACAGACGCTGAACTGAAAGTGAAGAGTCAGACAGCCCTGCGCAACAGGTTAGTTCTGCTGCTTAATTTTGGATGCATGATGTTTAGAAACTATGGTTTGTAAGAGACATATTTACTTTAAACACTTGGCTGCATCATTTAGAGTGTCATAAACTTAAGTTTGAGTGAGCGTGTCCCTTTAAGACATGTGAATATCTTACTCTGAGTAGTTAACTGTCTCATTTTCAGTTTCTGCATCGGCAAACACTCAAAGCAGTTGCGTAAAGTCATGGGAGCATGAAAACGCATATGTTCACAAGCACTATGTCCCCCATTGTCAACCCCGGTTTTAGTCCTGGTGTGGCTCCTGTTTTAGCTGTTGACAGTATGTTCAGTCTGCTTGCTCAGTCCGCTAATGTCCCCGTGACCACTTTGCGGCTCTCTCTCTCTGCGGATTGGTTGCTGCACGTACGTCCGAGGAAACGTTCAGCAATATTTATCTCCTGCGTGCATACATTTTCCGCTCCTGCTCCTCCCCTTCGACTTTGCAGCGCAGTCTGAGTCTCTACAGAGCAGTCCGTGTGTCTCTATTGAACAGTCTGTGCGTCTCTACAGAGCAGTCTGTGTGTCTCTACAGAGCAGTTCGTGCGTCTCTACAGAGCAGTCCGTGCGTCTCTACAGAGCAGTCCGTGTGTCTCTACTGAGCAGTCCGTGCGTCTCTACAGAGCAGTCCGTGCGTCTCTACAGAGCAGTCCGTGTGTCTCTATTGAACAGTCTGTGCGTCTCTACAGAGCAGTCCGTGTGTCTCTACAGAGCAGTCCGTGTGTCTCTACAGAGCAGTCCGTGCGTCTCTACAGAGCAGTCCGTGTGTCTCTACAGAGCAGTCCGTGTGTCTCTACAGAACAGTCCGTGTGTCTCTACAGAGCAGTCCGTGTGTCTCTACAGAACAGTCCGTGTGTCTCTACAGAACAGTCCGTGTGTCTCTACAGAGCAGTCCGTGTGTCTCTACAGAACAGTCCGTGTGTCTCTATTGAACAGTCTGTGCGTCTCTACAGAGCAGTCCGTGTGTCTCTACAGAGCAGTCCGTGTGTCTCTACTGAGCAACGTCTCTACTGAACAGTCCGTGCGTCTCCACAGGAGCAGTCCGCACATGCATTTTGACGCTCAAACGTGCGTCACCATTGACTTTGCATTGAAAGCCGACGCAGCATGATCCGGTCTGAACGCGGCTTGAGGCTGAATTCTAAATGGACTTTTAAATGTTTGGTTTCTCCTTTATTTTCCTTGTAACTTTCAGAATGCTGTTCTGTTCATGACCAGATACAAATACAGCTCAGTGATAAAGCTAACATTGTTCTGTGTGTTTGATATTAAGGCCTTTTTATCTCAGGCGGTGGCCAGTGACACACCTGGACACGCCCTGGACCCGCCCTGGACCAGTGACACGCCTGGACCCGGCATGGACCAGTGACACGCCTGGACCCGCCCTGGACCAGTGACACGCCTGGACCCGGCATGGACCAGTGACACACCTGGACACGCCCTGGACCAGTGACACGCCTGGACCCGGCATGGACCAGTGACACACCTGGACACGCCTGGACCCGGCATGGACCAGTGACACACCTGGACACGCCTGGACCCGGCATGGACCAGTGACACACCTGGACACGCCCTGGACCAGTGACACGCCTGGACCCGCCCTGGACCAGTGACACGCCTGGACCCGGCATGGACCAGTGACACACCTGGACACGCCCTGGACCAGTGACACGCCTGGACCCGGCATGGACCAGTGACACACCTGGACACGCCCTGGACCAGTGACACGCCTGGACCCGCCATGGACCAGTGACACGCCTGGACCCGCCATGGACCAGTGTCACGCCTGGACCCGCCATGGACCAGTGTCAAGCCTGGACACGCCGTGGACCGACCAGTATCAATGAAGTACAATAATACTGGTAGGTACATCCTGAACACACTTACGGTCATCTCTTAAAACACTCTGCTGCATCATTTAGAGTGTCATAAACTTAGGTTTGAGTGAGGGTGTCCCTTTTAATGCATGTGAATATCTTACACTTAGTATAGTTAATGTCTCATTTTCAGTTTAGCTGGTCCTCACTAACACAGAGTCCTCTCAGTCCTGGTCTGTTCTGTGTGTCACACACACAGATGTTGTAAATGTCTCATATTGAATATAGATGTCCTCATTAACTCATTCACTGCCAGCCATTTAAAAAGCAGCATCCCTCATACTGCCAGAGATTTTGGACATTTTTAGTGTTTTTCCGAACCGCATAGAAATGTGAGCCCTTGGTTGACACAAGTATGAAACATACCAAATGAAAGCTCTATCCCTTGGCTTTCATTTTTTTTAAAAAGTAAGTTTCTAACCCTTTTAGTTTTTTAGCAATTGAGAGTGCAACATAGGTAACTTTCACACAAAATGCTGTTTCCTGACCAAGATTTGGAGAAAACAGCCTTTTTGTGAAACACGCATTTTCAAGCAGAAAAGTGGGTTTTTTTTGTCTTTACTGATATTTTACAATGTATGACAGTTTCTTACTATGACACAAAACAGAAACAATACTTTGAATTGTATTTTTAATGTATAATTATTTTTAAACAAATTAAACGTGTACACACAATACACTCAAAGGATTGTCTTATGTACACATAAAATATTCAACTTGTATACAATAAAAACACTTTGTATACAAATATACAGTAAAAATAACACTTTCTGAACACTTTGTGAAACAATTTTACTTTAGTTTATAAAGAATAGTAATTGGGTGACCCCACACTTTGCTGAAGTGTGGGATCTACTTCATCTGCACTCCCAATACATTTCCAGATTAGTTTTTTTTTTTTACAAACCCAGTGAGAAATGTCAAACCAAAAAAGGTTTTTAGCTGCTAGACTGTCACTGGCTTCATGCATTTTCTCTGCTGAATGGGAAACGCTGTGTGTGTGCACTGAAATATTGTGCTGCATACAGCTTTGTCTGTTCGACAACAAGATCCAGGATCCAGAAGTTCATCAGTTATGAAGAGCTGCAGAAGTCAGCTGCTGATCCAAATCAAGCTCTGCTGCAGCATTTTGGGGTCCTGAGGTCAACAATCTACAACACAAAGGAAAATATAAAATCACCATACATTTTCACATTATAACAAGTGTTTTGGCTTCAGCAGCTATGACATTGAGATAAAAAAAACTCTTCAATATTCGCTAAAAACGTTACTTTATGTTTATTTTTACTATAGTATAAGCCAGTGATTGCTATAGTCACTCCCTCCAGAATCTCTCAATGTTTGAACGCAAAATCACGCAGACTCCGGGATCAGAGCAACAGGGAGAGTCTTTCTCTCCCTGTTCCAAAGCAGCAGTGGGCGCGCTCCTGACGCACCCTCCACAGTGAGACGCACCCTCCACAGTGAGACGCACCACAGCAGAATGCACATGGTGTGGTAAATCTAACACTTGGGTCCACATCATGGGTCCTGCTCACCGGTCTGCCATGGATCACCTCCCCCTGTCCCTTCTATAAACCACACGGTAACATCATCCATAGCTCCCTGGCAGCTAATGCTGCTTGCCAGACTCACACGCCTCCAAACTCAAGAGAAACTTTTGGAAAAATGTCCCGCGTAATCAAGCATTTTACCCCGCAATAATCATTTATCAATCAACAATTGTGCGCAAATCCTGGAGGGGCTGATAGTACATTAGACAAAGGGGAGAAATAAACTCGTAAATGCAACATGTTGAAGTGAAAAGCAACTTACCACATGACGACGGGGGGAGGAGCCGCTGCCGCTGTTGCTGCTGCTGCTGGACGAGGAGGGAGGGGGAAGGCTCCGAGGATCCTGGAGTCTCTGAGGTTAACTAAAACCTGAAGAACTAGCATCGTGACATCTAGCTGCTTCATATTTATCCGTTTGATGACTGAACAGGCTCTCAAACAGCGTTAGCTGCGTGAGCTTCTCAGATCCGCGATCCTCTGTGTAAGCATGGCTGCTCCTCTGGCTGTTTGCTGCTCACAGCACCACATGCCTCCTTCTCCCTCCCTGGATCTGGCCACAGTGTCACCTCTGCCCCCTACAGGATCGGTTCCAAAGTGTTTACAGGTCTGAAATGTTGACACAGGATGCACAAGAGCCTTGACGAGCCATAGAAAGAAAAAAAAGAAAAAAAAAGCGATTGACGTTTATAGACGTCAATGGCAGTGAATGAGTTCAGAGTCCTCTCAGTCCTGGTCTGTCCTGTGTGTCACACACACAAATGTTGTAAATGTCTCATATTGAATATAGATGTTGAAGTCAATAATTCCCTTTGACTGACGTATCCAAAATCGATGCAAGAGCGAGACAAGAGATCTTCACGTTTAACATCTGCATTTAATTATCTTTACAATCAGATACAGAATGTTCAACAAAAGTGCTCCTATTCTAGGCCTGCTCTTCCCCTGTCCGTGCCCTGTCCTGTCTGACCTCAAAAAACACACACAGGGGCTCATGAGGGAGACTTCCGATGACGTCATCCTTATGCGTCCAAGGGGTGGAGTTTCCGGGTGTGCTGACGTCCCTTGTCCACTGGGAGGCGTCAGAATGCAATTGGTGAATCTCCCAGTCTGCCTCAAGATTCAGGTTCTGAACTCTTGTCCTCGTCAAAATGTTTATTATTTAAAGTTAATAATTCGCCCTGTTTAAACAGCATTTTATCTTTATGACTCATGTCTGATTATCCTGTGTCCTTGGGGTTTTTCCTGAGTGCACGGAGGTCTTTCTGGCTATGATGTTCAAATGGTCAAATATTAAAATATACAACAATGTCCTCACTAACACAGTGTCCTCTCAGTCCTGGTCTGTTCTGTGTGTCACATACACAGGGTGCTGTATGTGTAATAAAGTTGTTACCTGTTGTTGCTTTATTGGAACAGATAAATCTAGGGTTAATGAACATATTTGCAGTTTGAGGTTGTGTAGTGCTGTGGAAGAAAATGCTTGTCCCAGAGTTATTTACCTGCTGTTTACAGCTCTAGTGTATATTGCTCTTGAGTGTTGAGTGGTATCATTACAATTATCCTAACCAAACATGTCACAAGAATAGAATAGATGTGTTTCACTAGTTTATCTTAAAAGTTCCTTCTTTCCATCTTTTCATCTCCCTTGATGGATTTGTTGTTTGTATCAGAGCAATGAGAACAATGTGTGAGACGTGTCTTTCCCCAAAGTGCAGCGGCTCAGTGGGACACGAGTGTGTGCGCGCCACGGACACGGGAGTGCGCTTTGGAATAACGAGCGTGAGAGAGCGTGAAAGATGTGGCGTACGAACATAGCGACCGGGGCTTGCGTGCGTGTGTGTGTGTGTGTTCTGGCGATTTAAATAAAGTCTGATTCTTGAACGTTTGAAGTGTTATTGCAACAGCACCAACTGTGAGAGCGAGCATCAGGCCAGAGGGAGACTGTTAGCATTAGGTTAGCTTCAAAATGACTGCTCAACACCATAGACCCGCGGTTAGCGCGTTAGCGCTGTAGTTCTGCGCTGGAGAAAATAAAAATCTAATTTATTTTCGGCGTGTCACTTGTCCATGACGTGTCCGGGCGTGCCACTGGTCCATGGCATGTCCAGGCGTGTCACTGCTCCGTGACGTGTCCACGGCGTGTCACTGGTCCATGACGTGTCCATGGCGTGTCACTGGTCCATGGCGTGTCCAGGCGTGTCACTGGTCCATGGCGTGTCCAGGCGTGTCACTGGTCCATGACGTGTCCACGGCGTGTCACTGGTCCACGGCGTGTCACTGGTCCATGGCGTGTCCGGGCGTGTCACTGGTCCATGGCGTGTCCAGGCGTGTCACTGGTCCATGACGTGTCCACAGTGTGTCACAGGTCCATGACGTGTCCACAACGTGTCACTGGTCCATGGCGTGTCCGGGCGTGTCACTGGTCCATGGCGTGTCCGGGCGTGTCACTTGTCCATGACGTGTCCGGGCGTGTCACTGGTCCATGGCATGTCCAGGCGTGTCACTGCTCCGTGACGTGTCCACGGCGTGTCACTGGTCCATGGCGTGTCCAGGCGTGTCACTGGTCCATGACGTGTCTGGGTGTGAGCAGCCTGGACACGCCATGGACCAGTGACACGCCATGGACCAGTGACACGTCATGGACCAGTGACAAGCCTGGACGCGCCACGGACCAATGACATGCCCGGACACGCCATGGACCAGTGACACGCCATGGACCAATGACACGCCTGGACACGCTATGGACCAGTGACATGCCTGGACACGTCATGGACACGTGACACGCCTGGACACGTCATGGACCAGTGACACGCCATGGACCAGTGACACGCCATGGACACTTCATGGACCAGTGACACGCCGTAAACACGCCATGGACCAGTGACACGCCTGGACACGTCATGGACCAGTGACACGCCATGGACCATTGACATGTTATGGACCAGTGACACGCCATGGACCAGTGACACACCTTAGACCAGTGTCACACCTGGACACGCCTTAGACCAGTGACACGCCTTAGACCAGTGACACACCTGGACACGCCTTAGACCAGTGACACACCTGGTGGGGAAGTGATTAGGAGTGGGCAAAATATATCGTAGACAATAATATCGTGAAAGCCAATTTGAAGATATGCTTTATTGTATTATCTTTTTTATTTTCCAATACATATTACAATTAGAGAAGGAAAGATGCCCATTGGTCTAATGTGTGCCTAAAAAGCCAATCACTGCTTTTTTGTACATTTCAGTAAATATTGAGCCTTTTTGGATGTGTTTTTTCTGTGTTTCTTGAATCTGATTTTTAATGTTAATATATGTTAGTGCATGTTTTGCAAAGATGTGTGTAGCACTTCAGAAAATAAAAAGCTTCATTTTTGATCTACACTGTCTCTTATCTATAGATGCCATGGCAAGCAAAACAATGCAGATCATTTTGTGTAACCATTTTTGATTTTAAAGATATCGTGACAATGTTGTTATTGGGAGTTGGGTATAAAGTATCAAGATATTTATTTTTGTCCATATCGCCCACCCCTAGATGTGATGCATGCTTGCAGATTGGCAGTTGAGTTCTGGTGGATACAGATATAGTTTGTGTGTGATTGACACGTCTCTGTTGGTAAGAGGCAGTCCATCCATCCATCCATTTTCTACCCTTTAATCCATTTCTGGGTCAGGGGGGTGGCAGTCAGAGATGCCACCCAAGTCTCATAGCACCAGCCCCTCACTGACCCTCTGCAGGTGGTGAGTCCACAGGAGGACGGCTGCTCTCTGAGTGTGAGCATAGCCTTGATCTTTCAGCTGGGGCTTTGGGCAAAGTGGGGTTAAGTGTCTTGCCCAAGGACACAACGACAGCAGTCATCAGTGGGAGTCGGTGGAGAAGGTGCAGAGGTGGGAAGGTAAGAGGCAGTTATGTCTGTAAACCTTTTGTTGCTTGATCTCATGTTCTTTTAGAATGGAGTGATTATAGATGTACCATCTATTTAAGTGCAGGATAGAGACGGTGAAGCCAGTTGAAACTAGGAATAACTGGAATTCAGTGAAGGTATCAATGGAATACATGACAAAGTTTGGCAGTAGACTGAAGAATAAGCTCTACACGAGTTTGCAGAGACAATTCAAACTCTTAAAAAAGCAATCCTCCATAGATTATTGATTATTATAATGATGTGCCTCAGTCTCTTTGGCCTCATTATCCATGTGTCCTTTCAGAACAGGTTATCCACAGTGTATGTGTGTGCGGACCAGGCCTCACAGACCATGTGTCCTTTCAAACCAGGTTATACACAGTGTATGTGTGGGTTGACCTGGCCTTACACACCATGTGTCCTTTCAAACCAGGTTATACACAGTGTATGTGTGTGTTGACCTGGCCTTACACACCATGTGTCCTTTCAGAACAGGCTATCCACAGTGTATGTGTGTGCGGACCAGGCCTCACAGACCATGTGTCCTTTCAAACCAGGTTATACACAGTGTATGTGTGTGTTGACCTGGCCTTACACACCATGTGTCCTTTCAGAACAGGTTTTCCACAGTGTATGTGTGTGCGGACCAGGCCTCACAGACCATGGCTGTGTCCAAAACGCTAGGCATCGGGCCGCGTAGGGTGGATATGTAGGCACAGAGGGAAGGCCGCGTAGCCACAGGCGAGGTAGGAGGCGAGACGTGATGTGGATTAGGACAGCAGCTGCCTTCTGCCTTCGTCACGTGACTACACAACTCAGAGCGGAGCGGAAGGACACGGCGGCCATGATGGACGGTAAAAAGTTCTAAATACGCTTTAATTAGGACATAAAAGTTAATTCTAATATCATTTGAGGCGAGAAATATCCCCCTTTATTGTCATATCAGAAGTCTGTTTGGAGATAAATTCGAAAATGTTCAGACTTTACCTCCAGCCTGAAGCTCCGGTGCTATAAGCTAACAGCCCAGTTAGCTGCAGTGCTGAAGCCCAGAACAGGCTGTCTAAACACGGGTTCAGGTAGTGAGAGCCCCCTGGATGTTTACAATCGTATTCTGAAAACACAGAGGATGCTTTTGTTGTTACACTTTCTCTGTTATAACAATTGTATTGGCAGTAATCATTAGTTTTTACAAAGTTATATTTTATGTAAACAATGCACATATGTGCAATAAATGATTATTAGATATGGATTATATATTTGCTATGGCCCTCGTTTGTGCATCACTTAAAAGTAATTTTATCAGACCTAAATGTATTAACGTGTGTTTGCTGATGAGAGAGAAACATCCATTTATCTATAATAATAACTGACACATCCATGGATCTATAATAATAA